CATTAATGCTAGCTTTCTATTCTGGGATTTTCATCAGGATTTTGCATTTCATTTAGTTTTCATTTCTTCTTAGACTCCTCTGGGCTGTAACAGTCCCTTGGTGTCTCTTTATGACTAAGGACTTAGACTGAACAGCTGCGTGAGGGGGTCCCCCACCATTGGAGGACAGACACAGCCACAGGAGGTTCTGACCACGTGGATCAGCTCACTGTGCTGATGGCCACATTGGTCAGACAAGTGTTAACAGATACCCAAGTGGAAGCAACAAACTGGTTAGATAGACCTGGGGGTGGGGGGGCAAGAAAATCATCTGGAGGGGTCAGCAAAAGGCATGGTGGTTGAGGCACTGGACTCCCACATGGCTGACCAGGGTTCGAGACTTGGACCCAGCAGCTTGTTTTTGCACTCTCCCTATGTTTCTCTCTCTGTGTGTTTCTCTCTGGTCAAATTGAATAATAATAATATTAATAAATAAAATTAAATAAACAATTATTTAAAAACAAGTCTGGGCTGGAGTCGTTAGAGGACAGATATTATTTAGATACACTTTGAAGCCAAGAACCTGGATGAGCTTCCCAGGGAAAAGGTATAGAAAGACTAAAGAGGGCCCATAACTGAGCTTCGAGTAGTCTGATAGTCAGCAGTGAGCCTGGGAGAAGGACACTAGAAGAAACAAAAATAAACAGAAGAAAAAAACCCCAGTGAAGTAGAAATAAAACCTTCACAGTATTGTGCACTTGACACCCAATAAACATACATCCCTAACTGGAAGAATAGCCAATTGTGTCAAAAACAATAAAAAACAAAACATTTTATATCAGAACATTAAACAAAAAAGAATTTCAGATGCTCCCATCACAAAGAAATGGTAAATATCTGAGCGATGGTCATGCTAAATAAGCCCGGCGTGGTCACCTCACCGTGTACACATGTAGCAAAACGTCATGTCATCCATCCTAAGTGTGTAGAGTTAGTATTTCTTAACTAAAAATAAAAGTTGGAAAGAAGAAAGAAAGAAAAACAATGGTAAGGTGAGACAATCAAAACAGAACAAAACATGCGGCCGGGTCTGGGGCAGTGAGCTCGAGCTTTAACGGCTGGGGTAACCACATGCGGCCGGGTCTGGGCAGTGAGCTCGAGCTTTAACGGCTGGATTACCCAC